TGTGTGCGTAATTCGCTACACATCATCTCGTTAGCTCAGGATGAACCAATGGACTAGTCTTGCCAAATTAAAAACCCTTGTTGCGTTAAAGCTTTGTATTTTCCAAAACACAACACTATGTACAAAAACTTAATGTATAAAACCTTAACCTACACATAACCTTGTTTATGTGCAGATTTCCCAAAATTATATTCCTTGAATGACAACCCGATACGAGAGCGCCTACTCGTTATGAAAAGCAAAGTACTTCTTCTTCTGAAATTATTTCCGAAAAAACTGCCTGCCTCCTCCTTGAACCTTTTTTTATTGCCACTTGGTTTCAAGTTTCAATCTGCCTGCATATAACCCATAGTGCCCCAAAGAGAAAGTTAGCAGATATAATCCCAGCCCTTGTAAATGTATATTTTTCAAAAAGGAGCAGACCAAATATTTTCTAGGAAATCTGAACACCCTCTTAAGCTCGACATTACTTTTGTTACACCCTGTATAACTACACAAGGACGTTACAGTGAAGTTACTGTTGTAGTTATAGATTAAAATGTATCTTGTTAGCTTTTAATAAAATAATTCGGAAATTTTTGGCTTCTGCCTCGTATTTATTGCATTTTTTATACAAAATTATGAGTAAATGCATCGAAACACATGTAATGCCTGAATATGGCTCTGGTTGTGCAAACGCCACCACATTTGGATTAAACAATGAGGACTGGGTTATCCAGGTAGATATACGTTTAGATTGAAAGTGAATAGAGTTTAGTTTTGCACTGTTTGGTATTTAATTACACGCAGCTACGACTTGTTACTATAGACATTAATGTTTATAACAATATAATGATTTTCATAAATGACGCTGCACCAAATGTTCGACTTATGTTGTTTTTGTACCATAGATAAATATCCAATACACAAAGAGGTATAAAAGGTTGGCATACGAAGACAAATAGAAATGAAAATCCATACTATAGAGCACTTCACCTGTAAGTAAGCAATAAGCATACAACGAAAAAGTTTTCTGAGCATATGAGAAGTCAGAATTTTAAATTTGCTGGAGCAGGCAAAGTCTCTATTCGTGTACAAATAGACCTACATATGTATGCAGGTTTTATCAAGCTTACGTGGCCTCGGGAGCCTTCCTGACAAAGGAACAAACTTATCCGCATTCCAGATTAAATTTTCTGATTTCCCTTTTGAACATTTAAAGTGTCAGTTACCTTCTGCCCTTTCTATGTCGAACAAATAGCAGCTAGTAAATTTATCTCTAAGGAATGCTCTTCCAAACGGCCAACCTTGCATACATCAATAATTACAAATCCTCAAATTCATTAACAACCAATATATGTTAGGATATGCATATTTACTACGGCGAAAATGTGGGACGATTTTGAAAATGTTATCCCAAAGTTTTATTAATCAGTGAAAATAATTCAAAGCTTAATAAAAACTTATCGGAATTACTTAAAAAAGATACCACACTATGCAAGTAAATATATATAAAATGTACAATATGTTTTTCAACTATGTCTCCGATACTACATCATCAACATCAGAAGGTCGTCAGTCCTAAGACTGGTTGGACATGCACCTTCACTCTTTCCTATCCTGAGCTAATCTTCGCATTTTCCTAAAACTAGAAAAAAAAACTAAAACTTTTTGTTCCTCCGGACTATGCCGCAAGGTAGACCGGAAGGCCCTCTTCATCCTGCTTTCAAGAATAGTGGGAATGGGTGGGTGGTGGTTCGGGTGAGAAAGATGAGACGGACGAAATGAAGACTGAAGAAAGATTATCTGTGGAATATTACTGCCTCAGCATTTGCCTAAGTGATCCAAGGAAACCACAGAAAAACCAATGCAGACAGACCCGGAATCGAACCGGCGTCTTCCCGAATGCTAAGCAATGGTCTAGACCTCTAGGCCAAGCCGCTCGGTCTAAAACTAGAACAATCCACATCCTTGCGAGCAGTAATCTAATCTAGGTCTACCTCTAGCCCTTCTAACTCATGTTTTCTACCTCTAATATGTCTCTGACTAGACCTTCAAGTCTGAGAACTGCTTAAGACCAATGTAAATAAAAATCTCCATACACCTCACAAGTATCTCATTTTACAAATATGCATAATTTCTTACCTCCCCTAGACAAAAATTTTCAGTCTCTCAGAGTCTTTCAGCGTCTTTCACCGTCTCAGAGACCCTAAACAGGTTTTTTGACAGTCTCTCGACAGCCTCTCTCATTATTTGAAAAGTGAATTGGTGGTCTCATTTATTATTTTGTAAAAATCCGTTTGTAAAAATTAATCTTTAAGAGAAGGTTAGAAATGAAGAGATATTAGAAAGAAGTAGGAGTACAGAGCGCTCTATAGAAGTAAATAAGATATAGGCGAGTTAGGTTAGTAGGACACCTTCTCAGGCATGAAGGTCTAGTCAGAGACATATTAGAGGCAGGAACAGGAGTTAGGAGGAGTAGAGGTAGACCTAGATTAGATTACTATTCGTAAATAGTTTAGGATGTGGGATGTTCTAGGTTTGGGAAAATACGAAGATTAGCTCAGGATAGGAAAAGGGGAGGTACATGTCCAACCAGTCTTAGGACTGACGACCTTATGATGATGATGGAATGTGCTTTTAATAACTGACCCACGGCCGATACAGAAACTTTACCTCCTGTAGTGATAGGGCACTATTAAACAAGAAAATTAAGTAAATGTTTGGGGGTCCGAAAGTCCACCATTTTTGAGAAAAACGTTTATAAATGTACAAGGAAAGGCTAGTCCGACCCTGATATGATCAGCATCCTTGTTGCATTTGTTTTGTATTCATTCGTTGTTTGTTATTTGTTACGTTAGATTAAGTGTAAGTGACGATATTTATATTACAACCTGTTTACAGCAGCTCTTTGCTCTTTTAATATTGTAAACAGTATGTATGTAGGTAGTTAGTCGAATTGTTGGTAGGTAGGTCAATGTGCCATCGTCATAGGTCAATAACAACCTCATAGGTGGTGTGGAAATTTGACTTGCAATTAAAAAAATTTCAATTACCTACCCATAGGGAATTAATTAATCTATCGATGTTTACGTAACGTTAATTTTATTTTTATTTGGTGTTCTTAATACAGTGTTGAAGTAAGTAAATAGTACTGCAAATTATGAGGGATGAAGAAAGCTGTTATTTAATTAATTTTTTTCATAATGGGCGTCTATAAGCATTATTATGTGTAGTAAACTAGTAGTAAGATGTTAATATTTACATTATTAGCCGTTAAACAATTAGTAGTGCATGTCTGCAATCTCTATTAATGTTGCTGCTTAGTTGTTATTGCAACTGTGTTGCCAATTCAAGCACAGGACCGGCTTGAGAGTGCAATTTGTTCGTTTATTCATCGAATTTTTTTTGTCACTTAATCTTGCTTCTTTACTCGCCGTTAGATTCCCTATTACATGTAGTTAACCCCCTCCAAAGCTTACCATTTATTTTAGAAACACCCTGTATATGCACTCATAGAATGCCCTTGATTATATCCGAAATGCTTCTCGCCATACGTTTTTATCCTGTAGCCTATGTGTGTTTTGTACCCGTTTGATTTACGATCTTGAATTGACGGTTTTCAAAGTTGTACACCTAATGCCGCGCCATGCGATATCGATTATCGCCTCAGGTATACGCTTATAATATTTTACTGTGGCCTTTCGCGTAATTTCTTCATATTATAAATAACAAACTACGTACCTCTGAACCAGTATTTCCTGCTGATTTTTTATCCAAAGCGTAACCGGTAAGGGATACGCTTCAATATTGCAAGCCATTTCGACTTCAGTGTCTTCTAGAACACCCAATATATCTGTACCCACCCTAACAGAAGGGGGAACTGAAAAAGAAGAGCAACATGAAAATTTACATACGCTATTTACTGGCTATGCCTACATATAAAAACATTTTAAACTATGAAGTCTGGAATAAAAATAAAATTGCAGACGTATGGTACAATATTATACGAGGGTGCATTGATAAGTTTCCGGCCTAACCAAGAGATGACGCCACTAGGCCTACCTTGAGGTGACATTCTATAGTACCATCCTTGGATGATCTCCTTGCTAGTGTAGGTTTGACAGCACGCTGAACAAGACGCCTCTGTGGTTTTCGTAAAAATGGAAAAGCAGGAAAATCGTGCTGTCATCAAATACTTTTATTTGAAGGGGTTAACGCCGAAGGAAATTAAAAAAGAGATGGACTCAACACTGGGGACATCCTCCCCGTCATATTCAACCGTTAAGCAGTGGGTTTCCGAGTTTAAAAAGGGTCGTGTGAGCACCTCTGATGGGCCTCGCTCAGGACGCCCCGTTGAGGTCACAACTCCAGATATGATCGAAAAAATTCATCAAATAGTGCTGGGAGACCGCAGATTGAAAGTGCGTGAGATAGCTGAGACCTGTAAGATGTCATATGAACGTGTGCAACATATTTTGCACCAACATTTGCATATGGAAAAGCTCTGTGCAAGATGGGTGCCGCGTTTGCTAACAGTCGACCAAAAATTGATTCGAAAAAACATTTCTACCGCAAATTTGTCATTGTATAAGCGTAATCCAAGCGAATTTTTGCGTCGATTCGTAACCGTTGACGAAACGTGGGTCCACCACTACACTCCTGAAACCAAATAACAGTCTAAACAGTGGATTGGACCAGGGGAACCAACTCCAAAGAAGGCAAAAACAATTTTTTCGGCGAACAAGGTTATGGCTACTGTTTTTTGGGATGCAAGAGGTATTATATACATTGATTACCTTGCAAAGGGTAATACTATCACTGGTCAATACTACGCAGACTTATTGCAACGTTTGAGCCACGAGGTGAAAATTAAACGACCTCATCTGGCGAAGAAAAAAATCTTGTTTCATCACGATAACGCACCAGCGCACACGTCAATCGTTGCGACGGCTAAAATCAACGATCTAAAGTTTGAATTGATGCCGCACCCTCCTTACTCTCCAGACCTAGCCCCGAGTGACTATTTTCTGTTCCCTAATCTCAAAAAATGGCTTGGCGGTAAGAGATTTGCGGACAATGAAGAAGTAATCGAAGCTGTAAATGGTTATTTTGAGGAGCTTGACGAATCAGTCTATAGAGATGGCATTAATAGATTGGAACACCGCTATGAGAAATGTATCAGCCTTGGAGGAGATTATGTTGAGAAATAAAAAAAAAAAATTTTTAAAAACCTTGTTTTTCTTGGTCAGGCCGGAAACTTATCAATCCACCCTCGTATACTTGTTGTTAGAAGAACCTAGAACACTGTAAGAGTAAACACTGTGATAATCAAAACCTCATATCTGCAATTTTATAATTGTCATCTGCCTATCATTCACAGTTTTTAAAATAATGAAAATAAAATTATGCACATAATGGTATCCCAAATGTTTCCAACTTTTTTTTTCGAAATGCCCGCCGCACACCCATACGGGGCGCCAAGAAGGTAAAAGGTAGGAGACTTCCTCCCAGATAGGTATGTAATTTATTTTTTAGACCAAGTTAACCGGAGGACTGTGAACAGCCCGACAAAGTGTTATGTCGGCGAGGCCGTTGCCAAGGGGAGACAGACAGGTAGCTTCATAGAGAGATAGAATTATTTAATCTAATGTCAAATAATTTACAGCTCAATACATAATTCCTGGGCCATGCGACCTGACGATGAAACGCCCACGTACACTGGTGCATTCATATCCAAAATTTTTTGTCTCATAGACCACATGCTTTTTTTTTGCTGTGTATGTTGCCTCCCACTTTTCTAACACTGAATTGTTATAAATTTATCAAACAGAAGTAGTAGGGATATAAAGCAGAGGATAGCGCAAGGTCGAGTCGCCTTCAATAAAAAGAAGTCACTTTTATGCTCGCGAACGATTAATTTAGAAATTCAAAAAGGTTAAAGGTGTATGTTTGGAGTACGGTGCTGTACGGGTGCGAAACATGGACGATGGGCGCGGCAGAAGGGAAAAGGATAGAAGCGTTCGAAATATGGTGTTACATGCGAATGATGAGGATACCGTGGATAGAGAAGATTAGAAATGAAGAGGTATTAGAAAGAATAGGAGATAAAAATGTTCAGTCTCTCAAAGTTTCTGAAAGCGGGACTCAAGTCTCCGTCTCTCATCGAGTCTCTCTGGTGTCGCTGAGAGAGACTGTCAAAAACAACTGCTTAGCGTCTTTGAACGAGAGACTCGAGTCGCTCATAGAAAGATCCTCATTTCGTATCCAGTCTCTGAACGAGAGACTCGAATCTCTCAATAAGTGGTGTCCCGATAGACATGGTTCGAGTCTCTGAATTAACAATTTTATCGTTCGAGTCTCTCATACAGAGACTGTGAGAGATCCATAAAAACACCTAGGCAATAACTGAGAGACTGCGAAAGACGCTCTCAGAGACGCTGAAACACTCTGAGAGACTGGAGAGAGACTGAAAATTTTGGTCTAGGGAAAGTCAAAAAGAAATAGGCGAGATAGGTTAGTAGGGCACTTCTCAGGCATGATAGCAGGATAGGAAAGAGTGGAGGTGCGTGTCCAACCAGTGTTAGGACTGACGACCTTATGATGATGATGGAATGTGCTTTTAATAACTGACCCACGGCCGATACAGAAACTTTACTTCCTGTTGATAGCCAGATCCTTCTCGAACATTCAAAATTATTCTACAGCGTACCGGTAAGAGAATATAATCATATCGGAGAATTTTGACTTTGGCAGTTTACTAAAAATGTTTATTTATTTTATGCGTAAAATTCTTGTAAAAAAAATTAATTCAGAAGTTTCTGGTAGTTACAATTCAGCATATCGTATTACTACAAATATATCACAATACCGTAAAATTTGCGATTAAATTCTGTTCAACGAAACAAATGGAACAAGCCAGCGGTCCGTTTATTCTTCCTTTCCATAAAACTTTACGATCGAACTTTGAAAAAAACTGGCACATTTCGCATTGTACGAAGTAACTTTTTGCTTTCCCGAAATGTTTGTCTTCGGGACGACGAAGTGACAATACTAACGGACCAAATGGAGCGGCGCCAGCAAAATAAATAACGACAGCGAATTCGAAACATTCGAAAGCTATGGCTGTATTATCGATTCGATGGGATTGGACAGAGTATGTTTTCAATGTCAACGTTTTGATACGGTAAAGTTAATACGACAAAACGCGACGGAATGATTCACATTAAGGGCAACGAAAAATAACATTGACGGGCGTACAGAAAAAGGGAAGCAGCTTTTTCCCACGAAATACTCTAAAATATAATGTATGGGTTTTATTTTCCCTGGACATGCCTGTTTACTTAAGTATTACCGGTGGAAAAACTGCGATTTTTTAATTATTTTTACACAGACACAACAAGCAAAGTAAAACAAAAGTTTGTTAATAAGTAACATAAAAATATCAGAATAAACATTAACGTAGCAAACTAATTGCCATTACCATTACTATTACCATTGGCGATCAATGAATATCAATTAAGAAACAAAATAAACTCAAATATACAATTTTTTTAATAACCTTTCATCTATGGTGATACCGTGGATAGAGGTTAGGAATGAAGAAGTATTAGAAAGAATAGGAAAATAGAGGATTCTATGGAAATCAATAAGAAATAGGCGAGATGTGTTGGTAGGACACCTTCTCACGCATGAAGGTCTAGTCAGAGACATATTAGAGGTAGAAACAAGAGCTAAGAGTAGAGGTAGATTTAGGTTAGATTACTGTTCGCAAATAGTTAAGAAACCTAGTTTTAGGGAAATGCGAAGATTAGTTCAGGATAGGAAGGAGTAGAGGTGCGTGTCCAACCAGTTTTAGGACTGACGACCTTATGATGATGAACTTTTCACTGTTGAGAAAACAAGATAAGGCACGTGCTTTCCTACTATTAGCAAGTATTTTTATGAAACACATAGAAAATAACATTTTGGAGTCAGATATCACTGTTAAACTCAAGGTTAAGGTCTCAAAAATGAGTGAGTGAAACGCTCTGAAGTTTAAAATTTCACCATAAAATGTCAATATGAATATGTTATCGAACAAAATTTCAGAAAAATCCATCAGTTATTTTTATGTCTGGTGAACTGCCTTAATTTCATCAATTTTCCTTTTTTTTATGCAAATACCGACTCATTTTTCCACAGTTTTACCACCTTTGAACTCTAATAGCAAAGTAATAATAATAACGTATCAAACTCGACGTGACCTCTCTCACCTTTAGTTCTTTGGGACGCTCTGCTCTACTTTCCTATTTGTAGTTTAAAAAATTCCCTACGTTGACAATATCGGCAATATTAGTCGATATTACTTACATTCAACTCCTAGCATGATACGTTTGCTGACAGCCGGTGGAACATCGTTACTGGCTATACAAAGGTACGCTCCCATTTGCTGTCTCTGAGCTCTTTCCAAAATGAGTTGCATGCCGTGAATATTGTCCACTGAAACAAAACAAAACGTAACCAATACTTTTGACATACACAATTACTACATACTTCTTACATATATATGCCTACAGGAGGAAAGAAAAAACATTGTGTGTCCAAAACAATTAATTAAGAACAATTTGGTATAATATTGTTACATAGTATCCTTAAATTCATATTCAGATCATTGGTACAAAGTTGGTGCCCACATCTAGATTATTTATTTAAAACAGCAAGCTGATAGCTACTTACCTACTGTGTTAGTAGGTCAATTAGCAATCGTTTAAATAGCGAAATCAATAATTATAGTTAATGATAGTCGAGTCAAGTCAAGAAGTCGAGAGTCGCGAGCTGAATTCAAAATCACGAAGATGCAAGGTGGTGAGGCGGCCTACCGTGTGATAATTCCCTGCTATTTTTACGTTTCCCAAATTATCTAATAAGGTAGTCTAAGATTATTATAATACTATTGAATTATTATTNCGTCACTCTACAGTTTTTACAATTGCAATATATACTTAGAATTTTAGAAAAGTATAAAATATATTAGCTATACGTATTGAAAAGTAATACCTAGAAACTGACCCTTACCGCATAAATAGAATAGGGTCTCAACAGTGTGAATGATCTATTGACTAAATTGCCTATAATAAACGTTCTTTTGTAAAGGAAATGTTCTCAGACTATTATAGACGGCAAATAACAAAAATAGCTCGCATTACATTTAAAAAATGTGTTGGTAAGTTAATGTTTTCTGCCGCCGAATTTACTTTTTAAAAACGCTTTTTATTTTTAAGGTCGAAATTCGACTGGCTAAGAAAAACATGAGTTGCTGCCCCGTCGAATGAAAAACAATAATACACTATGTGCGTTTACTTGTCAATCAATCGAGGTGTTAACAGTTTGAAAATGGAACAACAACTGATTTAAAATAATTACAATTATTAACACTACGATTCTTATTCAATTCCTTAGTAAGCTAATTAATATCAGAACAATGCCATTCCCTGATAAGATTAATATTCTTACATGCGTTGCATGATGACGTTGCGTCTTATAATTGTTACAAAGTATCTTAGATATGATAACTGTAGTCCTCAAAGTCAATATCCATAAACAGGTCAATCATCATGATCAGTTGAATTTGATCAGTTTTACAAGGTGTAAGTGCGAACGTTACAGACAAGATTCAAATCATGCCTTGTGTTACCGCCCATAGAACAGTGAGAAGAGGCATACCCTACTGAATGAAATTAAAAAGTTAAAATCGAATCCCCTCGCGGCGATATCCCGCCTATGGTAGAGAAACCTAAATTAGTAACCATAAATACATACATAAATACAAATAAACATAACAGAACATAACAGAACATAACAGAACATAACGGAACATAACAGAATATAACACAACATAACAGAACATAACACAACATAACAGAACATAACGGAACATAACAGAACATAACAGAACATAACAAAACATAACAAAACATAACAAAACATCACAAAACATAACAGAACATAACAGAACATAACGGAACATAACAGAACATAACAGAACATAACAAAACATAACAGAACATAACAGAATATAACGGAACATAACAGAATATAACAGAACACAATATAATATATTACATAGCATATCATAATGATATGTGCCGATAAGTGTAAGATTTCTTGAAGAACTATTTTAATAAGCATATGATTGTGTATCTCGTTATAAAGAAGCTTGGGCCCTAATAAATAAATAAAATATGACACCTTTTACCAAAAATTTCTATTTTCTCTAGCTCATTATAGGTTTTTTTGGTAGTTTTCCCAGGAGTTTCTAATTTATCGCAAAATTGCGACCCAGAATTCCGAAAGTTCTCACAATCAATAGGACTATTACCTCACACAGGACGCAGAAGCTTTATGCAAATATGTTCGGCTCACTCAAAGTTGTAATTTTAGTTTCTAAAGGTATTTAAGCAAGTTTTGAAGTTAATTTTCCAGCAACTCTAGTAATGAATTAAATTGTAGGGTTCAGTACGTTTAGGTGAGATACTTGTGACTAAATTTTATAGCCCAAGTAACATACACAACGTTCTTAGAAATACTCAGAATCGGTTAGTTTAGTTTATTATCGTACAATCTTTTCAAATCTAATCATATACCTCTAAAAGAACCCCACAAGAAGCCCTTTAATTTTAACACAATAATATATGGCCATGTCCATCTTAAAGGTCCATTGTAAATATTCGTGAAATAATATTTAAAATCGGATGAGTAACTAGTTTAGGATATTATATGCGAGGTCTGTTCACAAAGTATCGCGAATTGTGTATTTACGTTGTTACGTATATTCGATATTCGATTTTTTATAGCGTTATGTTAGTACTCGTGTCTCACACTGTTCAATTCATTTTTGACGTGACAACGTCTTATAATTCGATGGAGCAGGCTGCACGCACGAAAAAACATAACTCATGCGGCGTTACCTCGCTCTGAGGCGTTCCATTTAAGGCTTGAAGTGCAAGCGAGAGCGCGAAACGAGCGACAAAGAGGCACAATCGGCCCCCGCGTTCGGCAGCGTTCGACATCTGTCTCTCTCCTACATTTCCATTCACCTCCTTCTCTATATCCATACACAATATCTATCAAACAAATAAAATTAAAATTTTCTTTTGAAAAAAATGAAACCATTCCATCAGTATTTTCTTATGACGTTGTCACGTTCAACTATCGTCAGTAAACCGACTTTACAGACAACCGATTTTTGACAGCTGCTTTGCTCGCACGTGTTTTGACTCGTCTTCAATTTTTGTCTATTGTAAAAGATGGATCAAAGAATCTTTATCAAATTTTGTATGAAAAAGAAAATTAAGTACGCGGACACATTCCCAATGTTGACTGTGACGTATGGTAGAGCTACCTTGGACTGAAGCACCGCTTATCGGTGATATAAAATGTTCTCAGAGGACCGAGATGTGAACGACGAAAAACGTTGAAGAAAATAGTATTGGCCAATAGTCGAACCATCGTTAGAGAAGCTGCTGAAGACCTAAACATATCGATTGCTTCCTGCCATTCGATTTTTACCAATGATTTGGAGATGAGACGGGTCGCCGCGAAATTTGTACCAATTTCGACTAAAAACAGCATCGCTTTAACATTGCTAAGACGACCCAAATTACTCCAAAGTTCAACCAAAGCTCAATCATCCCAGTGGAAGCTACCGTACGAGGCAGGACCGAAAAAAGCGCGCCGGGTTAGGTCGAATGCGAAGGTTTTGCTAACAGTTTTCTTCCATTGCAGGGACGTGTTGCTTCATGAGTTCTTGTCATAGGGTAGAATGGTCAATAAGGAATATTACCTGCAAGTTATGAGCAATTTGCGCGAAGCAATCTGCCAGAATCTCACGGATTTGTGGAAGAACAAAAATTGGCTTTGCAGCATGATAACGCCCCTGGTCACACATTGTTGCTTGGGCGCGAATTTTTGGCCAAAAACAACACTAATAATACCGCAGCTACCGTATTTACCAGGTCTGGCCTTGGATTGGAAAAATCGTTGGCACAAGTGTATAACATCTTGTCAAAATAGGTATTCATGGCTAAACAAATAATTTTTGAAAAAAAAAAAACAGAAATTCGCGATAGTTTTTGAATAGACCTCGTATAAGGTAAAATGTACGTTATACCTGATGCAGCCTGCGAAAGCACTACTTCCAAATTGGTGTGTATATAAATTCATCATTTATTGACAATTTTGCTTATGCTTATAATTGCTGTAGATGTGATGCAATCAGAACAAAATAATCAAAATAGCATAGAAATTGCTCCAAACATTGCTGATTCAAAATGGAAACGCATAGTTAGTACTTATTAGAACATCTTCAGAATTAACATTAACGTTACGCAAACAACTGCGAGGTAAAAAAGTTTTACTTTATAACAAGAGTTTTAGACTAAACAAGTTGCGATGATCAATGTATTTACAGTTTAGAATAAAAGACCAGCTACCTATAACGAGTTGAAAACACTGCTTTGGAATTAGTTTGTAGTTTTTACAATTTCTATTGCGTTGTGTCATTAAAAATATTTCGAGGAAGGACGTATTCCGCAAAACAGTCTTGCCAATTATTTTATATTTTCCTCAAAGAACAAAGAAGTACTACAAAGGAAGAAAGTTTGTGTTCTACAAATTCACTCAGCAAATTACACGTAACAGTAAGAAAAATACACAAAAAAATTGTTGCAGATAATCGTAAAAATTCACAAAATATAAATGAATAAATTGTCGGTTTTTTTAGAGAAGATGGGATCATATGAATAAAAAATAACGGATTATTCCAGTGCTATCACTGGATATCTCGATTTGATACGAAATCATTAAATTTTAGTTTTTCATTAGTCGAGTTCGAGCGACGAGAAATTTTGAAATGCAATCGTCGACTGTCTCCTGTTTCTATACAGGATGTTTCTGAAATAAGGGAAATGATAGGGTACTATAAAATAAGAAAATTAAGTACGTAAATGTTTGCAGGTCCAAAAATTCATCGTTTTGGAGAAAAACGTAACTAAAGGTACAGATAAACCTAGTTCCCGTCTTGGACAGAAATGCGACAACGCAACGCCGTATTAAATCAGGTGGTAACTAGCAGCATCGGTAATTTCATTCTTTTGTATTTCTTTCCTCATGTATTGTTTATTACTTGTTAGATTAGATTAAAAGTGATTTAAGATGTTTATGTTACAGCCAACTATATAGTTATTTGTTCTTTTAAAGTTGTATATTTTTGGTGTGTTAATGAATCGATGGTAGGTCAGTGTGTTCGTGTTAATGCAACAATCAAATTGTACTGTAATCGCAAGGTACGCCCTACATTTGCGGGTAGTGAGCATCAATGCCTAAACCATATCACCCCTAAAAAGATAAAACTCTTGATTTTCATATAAGACAACTCTCAAAGTAGTACCTGCACGCGAAATAGTATGCAACGTTGGCTTCTCTCATGTGTTAGTGTAACA